ATGTCCGGGGAAATACGGACGGATGGTAACCCTAAGTAAACACTGGCATTTTTATCTGTTTGAATAATCAAAGTGGTGCTTTCTGTGCCTTCTTGGCTGCAAAGATTTGAACTGCTTCCTGAAGGTCCACAGTCTGGGCCAGCTCATGCTCTGTTGAGATGGTTGCAAGGCCGATCAGCCTCTCCTGTGTCATTGTGGAGCGTAGATGTGTTTTTATTAACTTCAGCTTGGAGAAGCTGCGTTCTCCATTGGCAACTGTAACAGAAAGTGTTCAAAGTATGCACAGAGCAACAAAAGCATTTGGAAAGAGGGTGGTCATCTTATTTGTGCACTTATATTCCAGAACAGCCTTTGGAGTTGATCCTGCTGAAATGTATCTTGAGGGCTCTCAGTTCATCACCTAAATCACTCGCATCAATATCACACATGTCATCATGTGTCAACACTGTGGCTGGAACATTAGACTGAAAGAGTTTGCAACAAAAACAGTATGTAGCATTCTGGGTTTTTGAGTACATAAGCCTTTGACTCTCCACTTTGTCACCACTGGGGATGTCACGCCAATAATGTGTTGGATGGCGTGAAATGGCTTTGGGGAGCATGATGTTTTTCACTTGCTGTGGCCCATGCAGTACAAAGAAGTCCCTCTGGCTACTGCTCAAGCGGGTGCAGAGTCCTGAATCATCTAGACTTAAAGAACTAAACTCACCAGCAGTTGTTTCTTGCGCCTCTACCACACTCTTCTCTGATCTACACTTTTCTTCAGGAATGTATGGTTACATCCATTTGAGATGGAGATATGGATGCTGCAGTAGCTGCCAGGTCACCTGCACTCTGATTAACTGGAAGATCAGGCATCTCCTCACCACTCACATCCTCACTGGGGCCGGAAGGCTCACCATGAACATTTGTGTCTATGTATCTCAGGAGACCTCCTTCCTGCTTAGTTAGAAAAGCTTCCTTTGCTTTCTTTCTTTTTCTGAATGCTCCCCCAGAGGGGCATTTTCTTCTTTCACTCATGACTGCTGTTCTGTGCCAGCTATAGTGGCTCTCAACACTCAATTGAAGGGGACAAATAAGCAGGCTGGTAGCAGGCCCTGAGTGAGGGAAGATATCAGCTTCTTAAGGGCCTAACTGGCTCCTACTACTTCAGTTGACTGCCTGTTCTCCTCATGTGGGTTCAGGGAAGCAGCAGGAAACAGGAAGCT